TCCCGCAAGACAAAACTCCGCTGGCCGGCAAGAACCTCGTAGTCCAATATCTGGAGGTGGGCGTCGTGGACCTTTCCAGGCAGGAGAACGGGAGAAGGCTCTAGAGGCTGCGCGGGCAGTAGCACAACCAAAGGTTTGTAGTTCTTCCATAAACCTCCAAATTAAGCCTGGACTTTGCATGAACATCCTTCCTTGACTTTGCAAGTGATCTTAAACATTGCGTGCTTTCTTTAACTTTCAGCGTAACAACCAAGAGCGTGAAGGAGGAAGGGAATCTCCAAGACTGATCCCAGTAGCAGCTTCACCCGTAGAGGCTGCTTCTGCTTCTGTTTCTCCAACACCTGAACTATCAGAAGAAGCAATGAAAAAGAAGGCGCATGCAATTATCGACGAGTATCTTGACATAAGAGACATGAAGGTGGGTGAGAATGCAGCCTTTTCAGGAGAATTAGACTCTTTGTGGGCAGTCACATAGAACTGTTCCCAAGAGTGTTCATCTTGGAGAGAGTTCACTTTAAACTGTTTTATTCCCTGGAATGCTGAAGTTTAAAATCTCTGTGTTTTTACCTTGTTAGGAGGCAGTGGAGTGTTTCAAAGAACTTCAGTCCCCTTCAACACATCACGTCTTTGTGAATCTGGCATTCAACCATACTATGGAGAAAAAAGCTTCAGACAGAAGTGCTACTGGCAGGCTGCTGCATTACTTGCTCCGTGATGGGGCACTTACGCCTGAACAGTATCTCAATGGGTATGTCTGTGATCTGGGTATTGTTTACTCCTTCATCTTCAGTCCTTTATCTGTAATCATTCTGTAATACTAGCAGGTGGTTGTGTCTACTCAGCGTTATCAGTTCTCTCAAATCTCTCTTATCAACAGACCATTTTCAAATAATCTCTAGTCTCTTTCTCAAAGCAAGTCCTGGTGCCAATATTCTCATATAAAAATGAGACTTCAGTAACATTCAAATCAAACTCATTGTCATAAAAGTGATTGTGCAACAGGTCTCACTTGGATAGAGTGGCAATGAGCAATTTGGAAATGGGCTATGACAGAATGATGTGTTGGCATCATGTTAGTGATGTGCACAGACTCATTCTTATTAAATAGCAGACAAGAAGAATCTCTGTAGTTAAGCAAAATACCACAATTATATCCTTGTAAGGATCCATAGCTCAGGGAATGGGAAAATTCTGATTGACAATAAGATTGCTGACAACAGTTTCCAACACTTTTCAGCAGTTATACTTTGATGGATCAATACTACATGAACTACACTTTCTTGAGAGACAGGGCAATATTAGTATCACACAAATGCCCAATCACTGTTAAACAAATTTTTGAAAAATTTAAGGTGGTTGCAGAATTCATTTCACCCTAATTATTTCTTTTTTATGATCTCTTTTCAGTGTTGAACAGATATTTACATTTGCTGAAGACCTAGAAATTGACATTCCGCAGTTGTGGAAATACATTGCAGAACTCATGGGACCAACAGCATTTGATGGCAATCTTGATCTTGATGAACTATTTTCTCAACGGGTGTTGAAATATGTGTCGAAAAACAAAGCTGCCAAACTCTTTGCGCACATGTTGCAGACTGCCACCAATGAGTCGGTAAGTTCTGTTACATGTGGGTGGTTCATTTTATGAGAAATTGCGGGGCAACATAGCAATACCCACTGCACTTGCTTTGTTCAGGAGGCATTGTTTCGTTGTTGTTTATCATTATTTTTGGTTCTTTTGTACTGATTAACAGGGTCACAAGCTCAAAACTGTGGCCTTGTCATGTCTAGAGAACCGCCATCCTGAAATCGAGTGGTTAAGTCAACTTTTCCATTAAAACAAGGACTATAGTGTTTATCATATCGTTTTTGTTGGATGACAGGAGTTAGAAAATGTATTGTGATTTGTAGATCACTTTCAATTCCAATATTGCTGTTGTGAGTTTGTATGTGGGATGTTACCTGTCTTCCCTCAGTTTTTGTTAACAGATGAAAGAACTACTGTTAAGGCAAAGAGTTAAGGATTTCACAGTTTTCTTCTGGCCTGTCACTGAAGGTTCTTATTCTTGTTGTTATTAATAAAAGAAGCATAGTTAGATGAGTAGAGTTCTTACTTTTCTTCCGTCTGTATCTAGAGCCGTGAAGATGTATCTGCCATTTTGAGTAGATATCGTCTGAGGTTAAACACCTTCTTTGAAACTGAGGAAGAAGCTGTTAAATTTGCCAAGGACAAGGTACAGAACAACTAACTTTGTGTTTTAATGTTAATGTGAGTCTTTCATTTCATGTTATCTGATGTGCTATTGAACCAAGGGCTGTATTTGGGCGAAGGTAAGGGGCCAGTCTTGTTATCTGGAGGTCACGGGAGCTATCCTGCTACGAGATGCAGTATTGTTATTCGTTATGCTGTTGCAAGGATGTAGCTAAGAGCCGGCTACTGACCAATTTCACCAGCAGAAAGAGAGCAAATTACACTGTAAAACCAAGACTTTGGGTACTTTGGAAGGTGCAGAGGTGCAACTGAGCTTGTTCATGGGCTTTGTTACCTTCCTGTTGTTTCATCATTTATACTGGAAATTATTATTTCGTCTTTCCTTTTGCTTGTAGAATATTGAATTTGCCCTTGGACAGGATAATTCATCGCAGCCCACTGGCTCAACAGGGCAACACTCCGCTAGAATACAGGAAGAACTTAGGACTCTCGTATTAAAGAGGAAAGCCAGGAACGAAGACGTGTTCGAATGGATCGATGTTAGTGGAAATTTGAGATTAATTTATAACCTATTTTGAGTAGGTTCAATTATTAGCCCCTGTTTGGGAAATGAGCCACCGTTTCCCCCTCTTCCCCTCTCCCCCACCTGAGGAATGTAGACCAGAGTCAAGACTGGAAGAAAGCGAGGCTAATTTGAGTTGCTTTTGAAGATGATTCTTTACCTTTGATTAAGATCTTTACAAAGCATGTTGGCTTAATAAAATGGATGGTGACCTACAGTAAGGTGGATGTATGTCCTCATACATGTACGATGACATACTGTGGGGACATAAAGGGAAAGTAAGGATGGTGTATTGGTGAGAACTCTCGCCTTCCATTATGGTAGCCCAGTTATGAACCCTTAATAGTTAACCTAGAGTCACGTGCAAGTTGATTGTATTGTAAAAAACAGCACCTCAAAGTGTTAATTCAGTTTGGAAACAATTATTTAGACAAACGGCCATTCCTTGGTTATGTCACTGCTAGCTCCTATTTATTTTATTTTATTGACATAAAAATACATCAGTCCTAGTGTACAAAGGTGTTACGTAATTCTGTTTAACTTTGTTTCTTAGAAAAACGTTTCTCCGGCTGACACTAAGGAGTCCTCATTTATTAGAGCTCTTGTAACAGTTGTTTGTGAAGACACAATGGACAGAGGTAATTATTAAGCCACTGCAAGCTGGCTGAAATATCTCCAGCAAACAAGAACTTGGGAATCATTTTGAAGGAATCCTGGTCAAAATAGCCAGCTGAGCTTGTTCATGAACCAGCTTGGTTTGTTTTACTTAGCTACATCCTGCACTGTATTGCTGTAAGAAACTAGTGACACATGTTCATAGGAGTTCTACAATCTTTTGAACGTGTCAAATTATTTCCTTTTCCAGCTCTTCTACATCACTCAGACTATTGTAGCTCATGTTTCTTTTTGTTCTTGTCGTACGAGAAAAAAATATTTGGTGTCATTTGGTTGTGTAACTGATTCAAATTCAAATTATCTTTAACTGGTGTGTTTTTCTTCGTCTTCTTCAAAAGAAGAGGGAGGCCAGTGCAAATGCAATATCAATCACCTGAAGGAAAGGAAAAATCTACTCCAAAAGTACATAGACGATGATACCAGTCGAGAACTCCAAGCTCTTTACGCAGTGCAGGCACTCTTTGTTCAGCTGGATCACCCACCAGGTAAGGTTTGTTGTTGAATCAAGGGCTAATGTTGTTATTTTCTATGTAATGATTTATGTACTCTTTGAAGTTGCCCTGGCATTCGTTCTTAGTGTTGTAATTCCAAAATTGCCTCGTTGAAGTGAGAGTCCACAACGAAACGTCTTTCTGTCAGGTTCTCAATGGCCAGTTCCCCCTCTAAGACACACCTGCAGGGAATTATGGTAGTTGTATTCGTCAAAGCAAATATCCAGTTCAAGGAGATAAACACAACTACACTGATTCCCTGCAGGTGCATATCATAGAGGGAATTAGCCACTAAGGCGCGATCCTTTTACATATACATACAGTACATGTAGTTTTTGCCGAATTGCATTTTGTTATGATACTTCATGATTCTTTTCTGTGGCAAAAATCTCATTTGATGAATAACGAATCGCTCTACTTGTTTTGGTGGAAGACATGGCCTTTTAATGGTTAGGACCTCCGGATTGAATTGTCTGCATTCAAGCCCTAATAAGTGCCATTGTGTTGTGTTGTGGGCACAACATTTTACCTCACAGTGCCTTTCTCCACCTACAGTAGGTATATTGGTCCCTCGCAAAGTATACCTTACCTTTACCCTCTTGCTTTGAATCTCTCTCCCAGGTTTCATCAAGTCGTACTTTGACAGTTTGTATGACGAGGAGATCATCACAGAAGAATCTTTCAACGCCTGGGAAAGCAGCTCCCAAGAGGAGCCAGGAAAGGGCGTGGCCATAACCGCCAGTTCAGAATTCTTCCGCTGGCTTGGAAGCGCCGCTGAGGAGCCTGGGGAAGAGAGTTGACCTCCACGCCTACTGCAAGATGAATTTATCTAAAGAATTGGAGCTGGTGAATTGAAATTATCAAGATATGCTTTAGAACGTCTGCCGTGCAATGCGCGGAGACAATTTAAGAAGAGACCAGGGAATCAGTGGTAACGAATTTCGCCGGCGAACTCAATTAATAGAGCGAGAGAGAAGCTGGAATCTTCAAGCTTCCGAGAACTCTTCTGCGAGGAAATATTTATATACGACTCTGACGGGTCCTTCATGTAAGGATCGCCAAGAGTCCTCTGCAATTCAACGTGACACTTGGGTCGGTTTTCGGTCTCAGTGCAGTTCTTGCTGATATGCGAGAGACAGGAATCAATCACAAACGCGCGCTTTTCTGTTTGCATTTCACGTCTGCTTCGTTACTGACAAGTCGAATTTGTGGTCATTCCAAGCAGATGAACTACAAGCCAATGGTGGTTATAAAATAATTGAGGTTTCTTGTCCGCTAATGAGTGTCGGACATCCCAGTCTGCTGTAGACTTGTAGACTGTAAATACGAAAGAACAAGACTGTAATAATTATTGTGGAACGAAAAAGAAAAGCAAAGAATCCATATTTTGTGCCTCAGAAAGGAAATTAATAAATTAATGTTTGAATGAATTATCTTATTGACTACAGTGACTTGAGGTGGTTGTGAATTTGAACCCGAGGGAAGTTCTCGGAGTGTCCTTCAAGTGTTTAAAGGAGCTACGCCACGGTTTGCGCATCTTGAAAAGTTGAGCCTAAATTTGTCAAGTTCGTCGTTTGCAATCCGTGTCAATCTTCTTCATCCTTAACCATCCTTGTTCCTTTGTGGCTTATCACTATCTCTGTGGTGTTTTCCTATCTTGGAAAACTTATTTCAGGGTTTTTTCATTTTTTTCATTTTAATGGTTATTTGTACGTGGCCCAAATAACTCAAAACACCGTGTGACTGAGCTCCTTTAAACTGTGAGCAAATTCCCAAGAGTGAGTTATTAACACTTCTGTCCCTGTGGGTCGGGTGGCAGCTCGCATGTATTACATGAACGTCTCGATACTCTTAGAGAGAGTAATTAGACAAGCAACAGCAACTATGCCCTTAGCCTTAAAACCTCCACTATGACGACAGATAGATTTACAAACTTGCTAGAGCTGCTGCTTTTCGGACGAGTCCCTACAAAATCAATGTATTTTTCAGCTGTTCAGGAGGTTGAATTAGAGAGGAGACAACCTAAAAATAAAGTCCCATGTCCGGGACTTAAAAAAGCATGCTGGAGAAAACAAACAGAATGGCGCAAAACCTGGGGTCGACCAATCCCTACCATATTTATGCAGGGCACAGGTCTTATTAAGCCAGAAACTAAGGTACCTAGGGCGGGGATCTTATCGCTCTTTTTGTCGCCTTTTTCCGGTGGAAGAGGAAAATAGCGGTTAAGGCTTTTAGCCAGCGTTTCGCTAGTGAGGACGCCAACGACGAAAGCGCAGACACTGCAACGGACGCGCACAACACGAACAACAAAAGGTTTTGTTGTTGTGCTTGTGCTTATGTCAGTGAAAACGCGGTGCTTCACGCTGTAAGCATGTGCCAAGAGACCTGGTCCCTTGTATAAGCGAAAGCCCGCCATCTTGTTCAAACTGAGGCAATTATCCATTGTACGCTTGCCTACGTGCTTATGTTGTGGACGTCCTCACTACCGTTATGATTATGCGTCGCAGTGAAAACCAGGCTTTGAGCTTCTTTGCTCGTTGAGGAAAAAAAGTCCTTTAAAGTCAAGATTGTGATATTACACGTAATGAAATCTCTTTTTGAATGAGTTCACTATTGAACTGAGGCCCCTCGACCACATAAATGCGTTTTTAAAAGTGTCCGTAAACGAAGCAAAATATTTTCGCCTACGCTAGCGTTTTGGGTTTTGTTTTCACCTGTCCACACTATGCGTTTCGTATGAAAACGCATACTTTTTGATACACGTTTTAGCCTATTGTCCACACTAAAACGCCCGAAAACGCTGATGGAAATGACAGAATTTGACGCTTTTTTCGGTCCGTTTTCACCTATCAACGCCAGAAACAAAGCGAACGCGTTTTCAAAAGGCTTCACTTTTCAAATCGTCTTCGAAAGCCTCCGTTTTCGTAAGTCCTCAATTGTGCTCACTCTATCAAACAGGGTTACAGAAAAGTCAATGGGCGTGACAACCAACTCATGCACCCTCCCTTCCCCCAAACAGAAAATAATCCCGGCAGTTATCCAACCGCATTCCTCTGAATCATGCAAGCTCATAAACGCAGGTTTCTAAAACACACACAAAAAATACTTGGGAATTATAAACAAAAGACCGCTCCAGTCCTCCCGCAAATTTACTGCTTGGTGAATATTTTTGAAATTCAAATCACGTTCACTCATTACTATTCATATTTCATCTTCACCTTCGCACGCGGTATCTACCAAGTGAAGGGAAAATAAAATTGCGTTGATTCTTCGTTAATAATCCTCAAGAAACTAGTTCCCGTGTTGAAAATGTCTGTTTAGAACGACGACAAAGAGGACTCAGATGTCTTACCGTGCACTGAAAGGGCGGTGAACAAGTGGCTAATGTACCTGTTGGCAGAGGGAATGAAGACATTCAAGCATGCCGGCCACAGTGTCGAGGTAACGCACCATAGTTTCTTTACATTTAGTTGTCTCTGTGTATGTTGTTTAAACAAGTTTATTTCTTTACTTTTTTAATATTCGCACCTTGTGATAGAATTCCAAACGGTTTGCTCCACTACATCGAAACCGAAGATTATATTTGCATACCCAACGTTGTTTACCTGGAATAACGTGGTTTAAAATGTCTTAAAGGGAGATGTACATAATTCCGTCCTTTTTGACAACACTGATTTAATCGAATTGTTAAGGGGAGGTGCATACCTACCCCGAGAGAAAATTTGAAAATCTAGATTCTCCTAAAAGATATGAGACATTTGCAACCAGAAGTTAGTTATGACTCCGAATGACGGCTCCCCTGGATTCGCTTATGTTTACACATTCTTGACAGTTTTATCTCCGAGTACCAATTCCGGGCCAGTAATGTATTAAATAAATCTTAACATCACTACTTTTTATTTGTTTACATATATATGAAGAGCATCGTATTGGACGGGTCAGCTTGAAGAAC